GAAAATTGACAAAAATTACATATTCAATGTACTAAATTGGCATTTTTAAAAGTTAGGTGCTGAAATTAACAAAGCCACTATAGTCGTGTGACCAAAATTGAAATTTTCTCTTTATGTGTATTATGTTAAGAGTTTGGCTCTGTTTGGTAAATGGATGTTAGCTGTTAGTTGATTGAGTTAATTAGAGGGTATAACTAGTTGATAACATTAGTTGATTGTACTAAGAACGTTGTGGTCTAATTGTATTCTATTGCTCTTCTAAGTGGGAGCTGATAAGTTCGAGTCTCGGTGGAGGTGATTAGTAGTCTGATTGTAGAAAGGTGTTTGGTATAATTTCTTTTCTCAAAAAGCTAATTGAAAAAGTTGATTTGAGTAGTTTTTTGAATTTTAGCATTTTGGAGTACAAAAAGCTAATTAACCAAACACGTATATTGATTTTTAAACCAAGTCAAACAACTAATAGTGGTTAAATAAGTCAAAATTGGCCTATAGGCTAACTATTTTACCAAACAGGGCCTTTATGTGTATTATATTACGAATTTATGTGTATTATGTATTATCTTAAGATTATGTGTATTATATTAGAAATGTATGTATATTCTACTATACAATTATGTACATATGAAACAGGAGATTTTTAGGACGCACAATGCATTGTGCGGCCTTGTGCACGGTATAACAATTCAACTTCAAAATGGCCCAATCTTTTAAAACCATGATAATCAGTTCAATTCAGCCCATTTGGATCAATATCCCAGGATTTTAAGCCAAATTCGAATAGTTATGCTGTGCATCCGTATGCACCATGCATGGTGCATACGGATGCAAAAACGACGTCGTTTTAATAAAAAAGCGCGTCTCCTCTCAAAAAAAAAAAAAAATAGGTTCGATTCCCAGCAACAGCATTATGTTGTCATTCATTCGAGAATTTTAGTTCATAGATTATGGAATTATAGTTCATCGATTCTGGAATTATAGTTCATCGATTCTGAAATTTTAGTTCATAGATTCTGGAATTTTAGTTCATTCATTCTGGAATTTTTAGTTCATAGATTAGATTCTGGAATTATAGTTCATCGATTATGGAATTATAATTCATCAATTCTGGAATTTTAATTCATATGTTGTTGTTGGGAATCGAACCTGAATTTTCTTTTTTAAGGGGAGACGCGCGTTTTTAATAAAACGGCGTCGTTTTTGCATCCGTATGCACCATGCATGGTGCATACAGATGCACAGCATAATTTGCCGCCAAATTCCAATTCTAAATCCAATCCAACAGTGTCGCCCAGATGAGAAATAAACAATAGTTATGCTGTGGAATCGTATTCACCATGTGCATGGTGAACACGTGATAGATCCATAATTTCTAAGCTGTAGATTCATAATTTCTATATTGTAGATTCATAACATGTATACTGTAGATACATAATTTCTATACTGTAGATTCATAATTTCTACAGCATAGAAATTATGGATCTACCCCTGTGTAACTGTGTTCGCCATGCGCTGGTGAACACGTTTCCACAGCATAATTTGCGAGATCCTCATCCAGAATTCAATCGTTATATCGTGCACCCCACCTTGCCCAAAACGACGTTGTTTTGTTAAGTTGTGTGGAAAGTTGACGCGACGAAGTTTATGTGTATTCTATTATACAATTATATACATTCTATTATACAATTATGTACATTCAAAACAAGGAATTTTTTTAAGAGTTAAGAATTTATGTGTATTATGTTAAGAGTTTATATGTATTGGCCCTGTTTGGTAAAAAATTGGCGGCTTATTTGACCACTATAAATTGTTTGATTTAGTTAAAATATCAATATAAATGTTTGGTTAATTAGTTTTTGGCAACTCCAAAAGGCTAAAATTCAAAAAGCTACTCTAAGCAACTTTTTCAATTAGCTTTTCGAGAAAAGAAATTATACCAAACAGCTATCAGCTAACAACTAATTTACCAAACACTCTTCTACAATCAGCTAATGTTATCAACTATTCATACCCTTTAATTAACACAATCAGCTAACAATTAACAGCTAACAGCAAACAGCCATTTTACCAAACAGGGTCATTATGTATTGTGTTAGATTATGTGTATTATCCTTAAAAAAGATTATTTGTATTATGTTAGGGGTTTATGTACATTCTATTATACAATTATGTACATTCTTAACATAGAATTTTGGGAAAATTGTAAAAAATGCCCCTCTATAATATGTCAATTATCAATGTCACCCCTGAATTATGAGTGGTGTAAATGTTGCCCCTCAATTATCAAAACGGTGCACATATAGCCCCTCCCGTAACGGACCTGTGGTTCCCCACCACTGTCCAGTGCTGGTACTTCAAATCAAGGGAGGGAAAATACAACTAAATTACATATTTACTCCGACTTAACGATGTCGTACACTAACGGGAAACCACATGTCCGTTACGGGAGGGGCTATATATGCACCGTTGTGATAATTGAGGGGCAACATTTACACCACTAATAATTCAGGGGTGACATTGATAATTGGCATATTATAGAGGGGCATTTTTTACAATTTTCCCTAGAATTTTTTTTAAAGAAGTTAACAGCAGACATGGGAAACGAAATTTCCAAAAAAAAAAAAAAAAAAAAAAAAAAAAAAAAAAAAAAACAGGTACAAAACGAAGTCGTTTTGAGTCAGGGTGCACGATATAATTTGCCCTGCTTGACCGCGCAAATTATGCTGTGCAATCATGGTGCACACGGTTGCAAAAACAACGTCGTTTTGACTAAAAACGCGCATCCCACTTTAAAATAAATAAAATTCAAGTTCAATTTCCGGCAATAGCATGTTTTTGTGCATAATTTGAATTTATATATCCACAATGAATGAACTAAATATCCACAATGAATGAACTAAAAATTCAAAATGAATGAACAACATAATGCTCTTAAGGAAAATCAAAACTGAATTTTTTTTTAATGGGACGCGCATTTTTAGTCAAAACGACGCCGTTTCGCAACCGTGAATTGGCTTGACCGGGTGAAGAAATTCTTGTTGGGCCGTGTGGACCATTTGCGGCCTTTGGCTCCTTAATTTGATTGGGCTCAATTGTTAAACCTTTTCTACTCTATAATTATAATGATAAAAATCATTATCAACAACAAAAACAAAAATGATAATTAAAAAATAATAATAATTTTAATGTTAAATTACTATGAAATTTATATTTATACCTAATTACATGGTTCCAGTTTAAAAGTATAAGTCTGAGAGGGAGGAAGAGGATGAATAGACTTATTAAACTTTTTAAACATTGTTCGAAAAAAGGCAATTAAAACTCAAGTGTTTAACTAGAAGAGTTAATTTCTCAACAATACCTATAAAGGTTATGTTGAAATCTTAATTAAATAGTGAAGAAAAACTTATTACAAGTTAATGCATAGCAGAAAATGTTTTAGCACAATTAGCTCGTAATATAAGTTATAAAAGATGTGGTTAAGCAAATATAATATGAGCAAGAAATAAAATGTGTAAAGTAAAATGAGAAAAAACAATTTTATAGTGGTTTTGATTATGGTATAATTCCTCTACTCCGCTCTTCTCATTTTTCAATATGAGGAAAATTCACTAGTATATTTTATTCACAACAAAAATATACAAGTGAACCAAATTTGTGCCTTGATATGGATCACTAAGGTAAGATAGAGTTTTTTCAGGTTTTCACAACACTCCACAAGTTTGTTGCTATTCCTCTTTATACAATGTTCAATCAACCCAAAGTTGATATATCCTCCAAATAGAAAGACTCTTGGATGAATTTGAATAAGTTTTGAAGCTTCTTGAGTCTTTGGAGTGACTGAATCTTGATTTGTAATATTTTGTACTCCCTTCGTTTCATTTTATGTGTCTGATTCGGTTAACGAGGCTTGACTGAGGTTATTTTTAATCCATTTTTTTTATAGTATTAAGTTTAGTATTAATATATAAAAATTACTATCAAACAAAACAAAAACAAAAAAAAAATCAAATTTAAAAATAAGTAAAAAAATACTAAAGAAAATAAAAGAAGAAAGAGTTTATTTGACCAATAAATAGTAAGTATGACAGATAAAATAAGACACTTGGAGCATCTCATTTCGTTTTTCTTCATCTCTACTCTTATTTATATTAGATTTCAAATTTTTTCGTTGGAGGGTGACAAATTAGAACAATACAACTTACAATATTTTAGTCCTGCCATGATTTGACAAATGTAGGCGTTTATTTACTCGTTGTGTATAACTTATCCTTAAAATCATGTTTTTGCACTTTTCAATGCAGCTTACTTGTTTAGGTAAGTATCCTCCTTGATCAGCGTGTCAACGCTCATTATTTTAAGAGACAACACGGACACGCTCATTATTTTAAGAGACAACACTCGCTTCCGCTTATACGATGTCAGGTTTCTCGTATACTATATTCAGTATCGTTAGATTATTTATATCTAACATATCATATACTAAAAGTTTTTATCACATCGCATGATATAACACTATCACATCGCATCACAGTAAAAATGTGAGCACATGATACAATCCCCGAACATTCAGATTCAATTGAGTTCTTGATCTTGTCAATGATTCCGAACCCTTTCAATGCATCTTTGTTCTCCGGAGCTCCCTTTCTCTCCTTTTAGTGTCTCCGTATCATCCAACAAAACCCACCCATCGCAACCCTATTTACATCCAACAAAAACAACAAACTTCAATTCCACCAACTTTAATTAGCACTTTGAGCTTATGATATGTCAATATTTTCCTGACAATATCATAAGCTTATTGTTTCATGGTTGGGGCAAATCGAATTGACAGACCGAAAAGATCCATGATGTTTTTCACCGTCTTACGTTGTTGGGGTACAACTAACTGTGCAAGCTGATCTGATGAGACCTTGTAAACATGTGTAGAGAGTCAATAGAGGATGTAACTAATGTTGGCAAGAAAATGAAACTGGAATGTCTGAAACAAATTAAAGGGAAAATATAGAATGTTGAAATAATTAAGACAGTTCTTGTTAAAATCTAAATATCAGGTGTACGGATCAGAATCAAGAAGATAATCTTTACTACGCCAAGTCCAAGCAAAGTCATATGATCCATTCCCGGTAAGACATCCTTGAGCAGCGAAGATTTCACAGAAGGTTGAGGCCATGAAACACACACTGCCCAATAGTGCGGCAGCCAAGCCATCCACTACACTTCCTGATGGGAAATAGTCTAACCAACCGAGAATCATCATGGCCACCGCTGAAAATTATGAAATTTTCGACCACCTGAAAGTGATTTTAAATCAAGTAGAAAGCAAAAAGTGGTCAAAAATAGCAACAAAGGTTTTTCCGGATACCAAAAGTGGTCGAAACAAGGCTTTCGATTTGATTTAAGATCACTTTCAAGTAGTCGGAAATTCCATAATTTCCAGAAGCGCTATCGCCCTTTAGCTTACCCTTCTCTCTCTAATGATGTCTCCAGCTTGAACGCAAGTGTTTCATCGGCTGGAAGCTTACCCCTAAAGCTTTGCCACTGCATCAGATCTCTCTGCAGTGATCGGATATTGGACTGAGACTACAAACATCAATCTCAGGTAGGATAAGTGTTCCAACAAAGATTTTGGAAGACAAATGGTGAAAAAAGTAAAAAGACATTGCAATTATAAGGAGAGAGGGGTGAGAATATTTCTCAGCGTTAGGTGTAGAAAACAACAGGAATGGAGACGGAAGAGGATGCTTCAATCGCGGGGCAAAGACATCTTCCAAGAACAACCTTGAGGGTGGAGGAATATCTGTCAAGATGTCTTCCATCTTCTAAGAGGCCCTATTCCCTGCACAAATGCAACAAAATCTCTCATGTCAACCAGATAATTAATTGTATATCACAAGAAGATAAATCAACTTGACTGCTTATTGGCTTAATGCCTATAAGTAATTGGCTTAGTTATCACAAATTTCACAATGAAGCCTACTATTTTACACAATATTAAAAATGTGAATCGGCTTACACCATTGCTTTCTGGGCAAGCCATGAGAGTCCTGGCAACAAGTACAATGTCTCAAGCGGAAAGCAAAAAAGAATGAATGGTGAAGTCCCAGAGCCAGCAGAAGAACTACAATAATGGTTGATAAAATCGGTTTCTAATAACAGATCAATTTTTCCTTTTTGAGTTGCAATGTTTTCAATCCCCTACTGATCTAACAACATTTCACAATACACAAAAGCCAAAGCTGTCATATCAGAACATCTTGCTCCAAGTAACCATCATGTCTCGTCTTCTCACTGCAAACGAAGAACAAGAAGCGGTTGATTCAACCTGCCGTATAAATCCCAGAACAAAGAAATCTATATACATCAGCTACAGACTGCAGGATACTTGAGAACACGAGAAAGTGGAACTTAAATGGATTAGATACGAGGAAACTCCCTTGAACTTTTGAGTGGTCCCATGCATGATTGTGGTTTCTTTTGATTATTTTCATGAAGGCATATGTATATGCCCTAAGAGAAGTGTTTGTGATTCCATTTCTTATGCAGTTATACCACACGGTAAAAGTTAAATTCTGTTACCTTTATGTGGAAGACGAAAAGTAAAAATGTTCGGGCTTGGTCAATCTTCATGCTCATTCTCATCCTCGGCCTCGGAATCTGCACAAGGTAAAAGGTTACGAAAGATTGCAAACACTTGAAGATCGATATCGAAATGATACATGGTGCACATCAAGATCACGTGTAGTAGAAAACGAAGTTGGTATAATAGACCATGAACCCAAAAGGACTAAATTTGGTAGCTTTAAAAGTCAATGACTAAAATTGGAAACGAGTGATAATCAGAGGACTAAATATGGAATTAACTCCAAAGTTAACTATGCATAGAGGTTTCTAGGTTAAAAAACTAGTAATGCAACAATGACCAAAATAAGGTGGCGTGAGAATCACTGCCTTTATGACCTATTCATTTATTTTACAGATATTTGGACATGCATTAGCCATTAGTTAATAACATAAAATAAATATAAGAAACTCGTAACAGGACATACCAGATCGAACATCTTCACTAACTTTGCCTCGTGCTTGGATTTGTTTAACAAGCATCCTGTACATCAACACCCACCAATACACATGAAGAACAAGCAAGCCAAATAGAAGTGTGTTGAAGATGTAGTAACAAAGCGGTCCGTCGATTCGGTGTTTCTCCTTATCCAACGTCAAGAGAACTTCATAGCTGCATTTTCAGAAAATAAAAGTAACATTATTGTAATTCCAAGCTCATAAATGGATGCTTCATTTCAAAGCAACTTTAGCGCGTTGCGTGAAATGCTCTGTCGGGTCGGGGTGTGGGGGGCCCTTAGGGTTGGGGTTCAGCTTTTGGGAAGAATGAATAGAGTGAAAGTGAGAATTCAACGAGTGATGGAAAATATTCAAGACACACTAATTGACAAATAAAGGCCGAGGTAGAAGTCCAATTCACTTTTTGGGATTTTGTGAAACCACCTTTGAACTTGGGAAAACTACGAAAAATGTAAAACGGGAAAGCCATGACTTACCTTGTACTCCATAGAATCCAGAAAGGAAAGTACGTAAGACGAAGCACAATCCAAGATAAAACAAACAGAACAAACGCAAAGCTAGCAAGACTTTCAGCGCCACTATATTTGGACATCTTCCCTATTTCCAAAAATATGTCACTTGCATCATGGAGAGCTAAAACAATTGACCCAACACGTGCAAACCTGCACAAAGAAATTATAGGAAGTAAAAACATTGAATGTCGAATATGCATTGTTTACCTTAGGTTATTCCATATTCCTTAACTTGTGAACAACTAATGTCCTCGAGTTTTTGAAGTACTTGAAATTGTAAACATATGCTTCATTTTGCTCGGGCCATATCACTTTCCTTTACGCTACTAGCTCATAAAAATTTGCATATGAAGTGTAATTTTTACCAATGATTCGAAAATTGCCGAAAAAGCAAAAGGCTCACCCCTCCACAAAAACACACCTGAATATATAGGACAGAACAATGAGAATAGCAGTTGCAACATGATGGCTCATCGAGACACCGAAGTCAGCCCGCCTTGTTTCCCAAAAGATAAGAGCAAATATGGAATATGTGTAGAATCCACCAGCATACATATAAAGTGCCTTCAATTTTGACCTAAATTGCAAAACAAAACCACTGACCCTTCAAAACTTGGAAAAGGTAATAATTTTTCAACCATACATAGGTAAACTAGGTAAACATAGAAGAGGCATGCACGGGCAGCTCAGTTGGTTCTTGGGTAGTAGATTGTGGGCAAGAACACAAGATCAAACCCTGGCTGCCGCAATGTGGGAGTTACACCCAAAATATAGTGGGCCCCTGGCACTGGTTCTCCCAACTAATGGACCGCTGAGTCACCGTGATTCACCCTCCATTTGTGGGGCGTGGGGCCCTAGGGGCGAGGAAATTTCTTCATTTGTGGGCAAGTGAAACATAAAAGAGATATCACATGGTCAACCACTACCAACAACCCTCCCTCACCCCAAAAAAAAAAAAGTAAACCAACTACCAACCAAAGTAAAGAAGAAAACCCAAAAGCAAAAATCTAAAAAGGGGGAAGTTTAATTAGCAGTGAAGGAACTGAAGCAAAAATGTGTTGTGTAGACTCATGCCATAAAGAACATAACCTTCAAAGGAACCAAAAGCTCTTACTTGTATTTTTGGTCGGGCCAGACCTGATCCCCAGGACCTACCCAGAAGTACTTTGTTTTCTTGAACCATGGCTCATTGTAAGTCACCACAAGTGAAAAGATCTCAGCTGAAAGAAAATACACACACTTCCATGCTGATTCCTTGAATTTCCTCACTTTTTTCCTCCTTTCATCTGTCTCATTTTCCAGCACCCGCTGTCCCTTTGGAAACATCAACCACCTAGCTACATTCTACAACATGCATATCCAATTCCAAAATTACAAAGACCTTCCAACAAGGGCAATACAAAACTGAAAAGCAAATCAATCAATCAAAAAAAAAAAAAAGCAATGTTTATGCAACATGTATCTCATCCCATATTCCTATTACATATCAAACACAACAAAACCTGCTTATGCAACTTGAAACATGACCAAACATCTACAAAAGAGCATCATCATCAAGAAAAATCAAGTCTTGCTGCAAAATTTCCATGTTTTTTTCTCCACAAACTTCTGCAACTAATCCAAGTACTCTAAAAAGAAGAATATAATGTACAAGAAAAGAGCAAAAGATGAGCACCTCAAACACGAATCTATCGAGCAAGAATCTGACAGTGGGGAAGAACAGCGCGAACAAGGGAAGAACCGCGAAATCCTGGTATCTTGGGTATGATTCCTGCTCCCAATCTATCATACCCAGCTTTTCCAATACCTCCATGCCCGAAAAAATTCCCAAACAGGTTAAAGATGAAAAGGAGAAGAAAGAAGGGAAAATTGTTTATTGAAGTATGGATATGGGGACGTGGCGACGAATCAGAAACATTGGCTGGGACACTTCATTGAAGAGCTCGAATTAAGCAAGCGAAGACAGAAGACTGGAAGAGTAGATTGGATCAGATTGTGAATGGAGGCAGTAAAAAGTTCCTTTACTTTGGTGGTGGCGTTGTGGGGCCTGATTGGACCGCCTTGTAAAATTCCATTTATGCCCTTTGCCTATCAACTTCCTCGTTCACAAACATACCAATCCCGCTTCTTATATATACCACATCCTTATCATGTGCAATACAATCTGTTCGGCAGTATATTCAAGTCAAGTCAACAGCACAAGTAACATATGTATATACCTTGGCAATATTAAAAGCCAAAGACCAGCTTCAATTGTTAAAAAAAGACTACCAAAAGTTAACTGGATTCATTTTACAGAAATATGGTGTCTTCAAAGGAAAAATTTTACCCAGTCACTATTATAAACAGGTACTTTTTCCATCATTTTGGTCTGAATGTCTGATACCAACTGGCTTCTGCAAACTTTTATTTCACTATTACACGATTAGTAACCATTACCCTAAAAGTGACAACTAAGAAAAATTCATGACAGAGTCCAAGATGAAAATTTTATAGAGTGCCTATCCTAACCCAGTGAGCTTATTATGAGCTTTTGTCTGTAGAAGCATGAAACACGATTACAGTAAAAGGATTAGTACACTCAAACATTTCTAAAATCAAGACGAGCTTTTTAAGATGCATCAACACCTCAAAAGCAAGATTCTGTTGCATTTGCGAGATGATAGTGTGTAAGTGTGCCATGGGATGGGAAACAAAAAGGAACACATGGACACGAAAATCACTGGCTTGTGAAGGTGGCTGGTACAGGAAAAAATGCAAATCAGACAACAATTTAAACTTGGATCAACCAAAATTCATTAGGAAGGCTCCCCTGACATGGACGACATGATTTTGAAGGTACAATAAATAAATGTCACAATGTCACATATTTACCATATATCAGTGGTGCTTTTATATTCACCTTCTGTAGTTCCCATCTTATAACCATTGTAAAACCCCTAAAATCCACCCAGTTATATAGTTTTCTAAATAATATATTTAAAGCAACTCAATTTTGAAACAATTTTTCTGCTGCTTTTATTTTTCCTTATTCCTTTCATTTTTATTTAGTGTTCTTCAGCTTTTCCATGAACACCTGTCTTTCATTTCATTGTACTAACTTCTTTTATTCCCATAGTTCCTGCACACAGCTCAGTTCCTTTCTTGGTTAGCTTCAAATAAGGGGAAATAAAAGGCTATCTTATTGACGTGTTTCAGCTGGATTATACGCAGTATGTAGTACTAAAGCGGGTAGAAAGCTATAACATAATCGCAGAGAAGTAAACACAAACAAATCAAATTTTAGAATCGTTTCGTTTTCAATTTCAATTGCATTACGAACACATATTGAACATTAATCCCTAAAACTTCTAAGAATTGTATAGATCACAGTATCAAGCTAGTTCCTTGGAGAAAAGGAAAGCCGGAAGAATGTATACATACACACAATAGATTATGTTTGAGAGATACCTGCAGTTGAAATCGGGGAAACGGAGAGCGACGGCGACGGCGACCGACGAAGAGGAGAACCGTTTCGAACGGAAGCTCAGTTTTGTACTTCTATGAGTTCTATCTATGCTTCCGACCAAAGTGAAATCGGATAAACGGCGTCGTATGTTAGTCGATTGACCAGATCTATTCAAAAATCAAGGATTTTTGAAAGGATCAATCGATTTACACAAAATCGACAGATTAAGCTCTCGGACTAGGTAGCAATGTAGAAAGAAGTAGGAGATTGTTCTTTGTGGCTGAGTGTAGAGAGACAGAAATGGTGAAACGAAGAAGCTTCTTGATTTCTATCTCTGTTGAGTGTTGACTATGTTTTGTATTTATTATTAGAGTTAATTCCACCAATGGTCCCCCGACTATTATGATTTTTCAAAATTAATCCTTGACTTTTAATTTGGACATCTTAGGTCCCTTGACTTTCAATTTCTTTCCAATAGTGGTTCTTTCATCAATATACTGTTAATTAGAAGGGGTAAATTCGTCATTCAACTTGCATATGTATTATTGACCGTATATTGTATAATTGACCGTATAAGAATTAAGTCGAAGCATAATCCCTAAAATTCAGTCGAAGAGTTTTTCTCCTAAATATGCTCCCAGTCGTCGAAGAACAAAAATCCCAATTCCCCTCCTTCAAACCGAACCCTAATCTTTGAATTAAAAGAAGTGAGAAGTGAGATTGTGGTGGAAGAACGAAGCGCATTCATGGATTCGAGAGGTTTAGGTGGCAATACTCGTCCACCAGGTAATTCCATTGTACTCTGTAACATTGTACTCGTAACATATGAGATTGAGGCTTTTGTTTTATTTTGTTTTGTGTTCTGTTGTGCACTAAAATGGCGTGTGTATTGTGTATTTACGGTGAAGTAGTTTGTACTCTACAGTCGAATTGTATATTGAATTGTTTGAAGTAGTACCATGCTTTACAGTGAAGTAGTTTGTACATATACTCATGATACTTGAACAATGCTATATTGAATTGTATATTTTTACTATTTTTACTGTGGTTAGAGGCAGTGCCTAAGGAATAACCCAATGTAAAGTTTTTATATTTGCTTCGTTTACATACATGTGGGGACCATTTTTGCATTTGTCTGGTTATGCATCTGCTGGGGACCATTCTTGGGCTTTATTTTAATGTATTTACTGTAAAGTAGTCTGAAGTGGACCATCTGTTGTCTGGTAACTCAAAAGTATATGCATTGCTACTTTGTGTACTCTAAACTGTATTGGATTTTCTCAATTCTTTATTTCAGGAATTTTTACTCTTAAGTTAAGACATGGAGGTATGATAAGTCAAACTTTACCTCCTAACTATATAGGTGGCACTGTTACTTCATTTAATGACATGGTAGAAGATGAGTGGGGGTTGATTTGTTTACAGGAGAAGGTAGGGGAAATTGGGTATCCCCTGGATGATAGTTTGAGCTATTTCATAGGCACTGAAGTAGGGTTGCAAGAATTGGTGAAAGATTTTGATGTTTGGAACTTAATTAACCAATCTTGTTATCCTAAGGAAATAGAAATATGGGTTGTAAAAAAAGGGAATGGTGATGATGCAGGTGAGTGTGCTGCTAATGGAGATGACAATGAAGAAGAGTCTGATGCTAGTGAGGCAGAATATGATGGTAGTGAGGAAGAATATGATGGTAGTGATGAGGATTACAATTCAGATGCCTTAGTTACTGTAGGTGTGAATGATGATGAAGAATTTGTAAAAAATGTAGATGTGAATGCAGAGTATGGAGGGTTAGTAAATGTAGAAAGCCAACCCAAACAATCTGAATCTACATTTGGTAATGAAGTCAACTATTCTGATGAAGGAAGCTTGATAGGCAGTGAGGATGAGGCAGCAGGGTTTAAATGGACAAAGTATTTACAGGACATTGAAGGTAGTTGTCCTAAATTTGCATTAGGATTAACCTTTAAAGATAAGAAGGAGTTTCGAGAAGCTATAACAAATTATGCAATCAAAGAGGGGAAGGAAATGAAATATGAAAAAAATGATAAAGTGAGATGTGTGGTGAAGTGTAAGCATGAGAGCTGTCCATGGAAAGTTACCCTGAGGTATGATAAAGATGATAAGTTTTGGAAGATAACTGTGTTAAATGAGAAACATGATGGTTGTGTAAGGACTAAAAAGAATTCAATGGTGAATTCCACCATTGTTGCAAAAAGATGGAAACAAGAGATTAAAGGACATTTGGATTGGAAAACAAATGCATTTTTAAAAAAAGTTTGCATTGATGACCATTACACACTAAGTAAGAAGCAAGCATGGAGGGCTTTAGTCAAAGCTAAAGGTGAAATAAGACATGAGGCAGAAGACTACTTTAATAAGATCTGGAGCTACTGTATGGAGATAGAAAGAACTAATCCCAAGTGTACTTATAAAGTGAAGCTGAGTGAGTTGCAAGAGGATGGAAAAGACAGATTTTTGAGGATGTATATCTGCTGGGAAGCAATGAAGGAAGGGTTTAAGCATTGTAGGAGAATAATTGGCCTAGATGGGTGTCACCTAAAGTGTAAAACTGGAGGCCAATTATTGACAGCAGTTGGAATAGATGGGAATGAAAGTATATTCCCAATTGCTTATGCAATTGTAGAAGGTGAGAACAAGAACTCTTGGACTTGGTTTCTAGGTTTGCTAAAGACGGACTTGCAAATTCATGACATGGTACAGAATGAGTTCACAATGATGTCAGACAAGCAAAAGGGTCTCATAGAAGCCTTTGAAGTTGTGTTACCCGGGGTTAGGCATAGATTCTGTGTTAGACACCTGCACTGTAACATGAGGGTGGCTGGTTTCACAGCAAAAACAATTAGAGATGCCTTGTGGAAAGCAGCAAGGGCCACTACAGTCAATTACTTTACTGTGGCACTACAAGAGTTAAGAAATCTAGATGAAGATGCCTTTGCTTGGCTTGCTGATAAACACCCATCTGAATGGAGTAGATCCCACTTCACTGGAACTTCCAGTTGTGACATTCTGGTTAATAACATTTCAGAATCATTTAATGCAATGATCTTGACAGCTAGGGAAAACCCTGTGATTAATTGTTTGGAGATAATTAGGAAAAAATTAATGTCAAGGCTATTTGAGTTTAGATGTAAAGCTGCTGAATGGAGTGGAATAGTTTGTCCAAATATTGTGAAAAAAATAGATGACATTGAGCTTCTTGCAGGAGGACTAAATGGCTATCAGTGTTCTCCAATGCTCTTTGAGATCCTAGGGACACAATCTGGGCAGTTTACTGTTGATTTAGGTAGAAGAGCTTGTTCTTGTAGGAAATGGGACCTAACTGGAATCCCTTGCCAACATGCAGTTTGTGCAATCTGGATGAAACATGGAAAAGGACCTATTTGGCATTATGTGGATTCCTGCTACTTGATTTCCACATACAAGAAAACTTATGAGGGATGTATAAATCCAATGTCAGGTTATGAAGATTGGCCTATCACTAGTAGACAACCTCCATTGCCACCACTGTATAAAGCAAAAGCTGGAAGACCTAGAAAATTGAGAATGAAGTCTAAAGGTGAGATCAGTAATGATGGTGTGCATTTGTCAAGAAGACATGTTACTTTACATTGCAAAAAATGTAAAGAATTAGGCCATAACAGCAGAAAATGTCCAAAATACCCTACTGTGAAGCCTGCCAATCAGGTTAGATAATTTGTATTTTTTTATTACATTACAGTCATAATCTATTTGCATTAGTAAACAACATAAACTTTTTGCAGTTCAAAAGAAGAACATCAAGAGGAGTAGCTGCTGCTACTGTCCAGGCTGATCAACCTCAACTCCAGGCTGCTGCTACTGTCCAGGTTTCTGCTGCTACTGTCCAGGTTTCTACTGCTACTGTCCATGAACTTGATGTTATTACTCAACCTGAAGTTGAAGATAATCAATGGGAGATTCCAGATGATGTTTTGGATGCACATTGGCACCAAATCGAAATTCAGACACAAGACATTGATGGAGGGGCTTCACTAAGTAACAGTATGGAAATTCCAGTCATAACAGTTCCTTGTAAGTTTTAGTCCAGTCCATTCCTTCAATTTTAATAGAGTATTTTACCTACTGATTGAAACTTGTACTATGTGTAGTTGAACAAGCAGAAGGGAGTAAAGGGAAACAAGTCATGCAACCCAATATCCCAAGAAAAAGAACAGCCCCAATGAAGTTAGATGGGAAGAAACAACCAGTGAAGAAGTATGCTACAAGATTATAATCCACATTGGATTAATGGGATTAGTTGATGTGTGCTCACTGCTTTTTGGATATCATATGATGTAACCTAGTCACTTTTATAAACTATTTTGCATATCATATGATGTAACCTAGTGAACTAGTCTATTTTGAACTTTTATAAACTATTTTGGATATGATATGATGTAACCTAGTGAACTAGTCTATTTTGAACTTTATGTTATGTGTTTTGATGACAAAATTGGCTTTTGATGTGTAATGGGAACTAGTCACTTTTAGTAATGGATGGTTATTTTACATCATTGTCTTTTGATATGATGATTGTTTCCAGATGGTTATTTTATAGCATTGGCTATTGATATAGATGATTGTTTCTAGATGGTTGTTTTACAGAATTGGTTGTTTCCAGATGGTTTTTTTTTTTTTTTTTTTTTTTTTAACAAACTTGGCTTTTCTTATTATGTAAATGGAGTTTTAGAACATAACCACATAGATGTTTCTAGAAATGGAGTTTTACAGAATTGGATGATGTTTAGTGGTAATGTTATGTAAATGGAGTTATAGAATCTGATTTAATTAAACATAACCACAACTACTACCAAAAAGTTGATTTCTTATTCACACACTTGGCATAGAAGCTTACAGGCAAGTTCCACTTTCTAAGCTTAACCCCTAAAATTCAAACATTCAACATAAGGTTCTTGTTTTCTCTAAGTACATTGCACAAGCTTGTAGCCTTGTTTCCAGTCTTGCAATTTTTTCTTCATTTAGATTGATCCTTCTCAATAGCCCAGGAATAATTCTTCTTGACCAGCGCACATCGGCGGATCATACCACCTCACAAAACCACACATTTGCCTTCCCTACAAAGATTCCGGCAAGTTAGTTGATAGGAATTAAACAAATTTTAAAAATGCAATTGCTAGCTTCTCACTATGGCATAAAGTGTTTGATATGTCAGTCTTACACAAATTGAGGAAAAAAAAGAAGTTAAAATTGAAAACTAAATTTGAATCAATATTTTGTGACTGCCAAATGAAGAAAATATTAAGAGCATCTGATTGGGTGAAATACTGAAGTGCTTTATTTAATTTCTAGGTTGTATTTCATATCTTAGATTTAACATTTGAAGTTCATTGGTTCCTTGCATATGATGTAACTCAGATCTGCATTACTTGGAAGTGAGGCAAGTTTTATGTTGGATAAATGTCTACCCCATACTAATTCTCCTCATTATCTCATCATGGAAACTGAGGGTTCATTTTGATTTAGAAAATTCAAATTTTCTGTATAACACAAGGACTCAACTTGGTACTGTTGTAAAGTTTCTTGATTAACAAATTATGATGATTTTAGTAGCAAGTTTAAACAAAAATTGCTCATAATTAAACAACAAACACAACAAAAATAAACCCCAAAAAAAACCAAAAATTTTACCCCAAAAAACCAAAAAATTTACATTCAACTGGAACAAAAATTAAATCTGTAAAATTCTTAAAACACTCACATTTTCGATTGAGCACGCCCAATACCTTCTACCAGGATTATCATTCGTTCAAGATGTTTGAAGCTTCAACCATTGCCCACATTGACAATTTGGAATGGAAACCAACTCACCGTATATGTATCCTTGCCTTCTTGAAGAAGATGAGCTAGAGCTGTTGTACCTTCTAAACATCTCAGAGGACACTAGGGCTTCCACGAGATAAACGCCAATGCTGAGAACTAAGAGATAAACAAGGGATTGAGAGTATATATCGCGTATAGGGATGACCAATATACGGTCAATAATACATATGCAATATACGGTCAATAATACATATGGAAGTGGAGTGACAAATTTACCCCTTCTAATTAACAGTATATTGATGAAAGGACCATTATTAGAAAGAAATTGAAAGTCAAGGGACCTAAGATGTCCAAATTAAAAGTCAAGGATTAATTGTGGAAAATCATAATAGTCGAGGGACCATTGGTGGAATTAACTCTTTATTATTATTATTATTATTATTATAATAATTATTATTATTATATTATTATTTGTATTATTATTATTATTATTATTATTATTATTATTATTATTATTATTATTAGTTTTTTTTACTAATAATAATTAAACAATATTAATTACCACAATATCTATGTGATAAGTCCTCCGAATAAATTTTTATCTTAATTGGATGTATAAAGTCAGTGGATCGACCAGTTATTTTTCTGATATATGGAAAGTTGATGGTGTGTAGTACGATTTCTTTAGAGATGCGTGTTATGCTAGAGAGTTAGTAGAAAAATAACAAAGAATATATTGACGCAATACAAGAAGCAAGTGAATGGGCTACTGGAAGTAATTTAAGAGGATTGTTTGTAACGTTGTTAATATCAAACTCAATTGCAAAACTAGGAATTTGGGAAGGTGTGTGACACCATTTGTTAGAGGATGCACAATTCAAGCTTCGACAAAATTTGCGAATTTCAAGTATTTTATAGTACATTTATCGTTTTTTTTTAATATATGGTACATTGCCGGAATGTTATTATGGATTGATAAGTGCAATTATATGTTATCAATATTGCATATTTGGTGTTGACTGAACATCAACAAAAGAATTTTATATTAATGGAAATAGAAAGGATGCTATCAACATTGGGCAAGAGTTTGAGTGACTTTCCAAAAATGTCGTGTTCAAATGAAGATAATTACAATCTAGCAGCAAATGGATTGGTACACAAGGAATTATCTTATGACAGTGCTGCCCAAAAGGAAGAGTATGAAGTTTTGGTCCGCCAACTCACTGAAGAACATGGGACAATATATGATGAGGTAATTGTAGATGTTAAGAGCAACACGGGAGGATTGTTCTTCGTATGGGGTTATGGTGGAACAGGTAAGACGTTCTTATAAAGGGCATTGTCTTCGTCTTTAAGGTCAAAAGGAGAAATAGTTCTAAATGTTGCGTCTAGCAGCATAGCGTCACTTTTATTGCCCGGAGGAAGGACTACGCATTCAAGGTTTGCGATACCTATCTCTATTAACAAAGATTTCACTTGCAACATTACGCAAGGTCGTCCTTTGGCAAAGTTGGTTGTGCAATGCAAATTGATTATATGGGACGAAGTTCCAATGATGCACACACATTGTTTTTAGGCTTTAGACAAGACAATGAGATATTTGTTACGATTCAAAAATTCTAATAGTTATGATATGACTTTTGGAGAAAAGACAATAGTGTTTGGCAGGGATTTCAGACAGATTCTTTCAATAATTCCAAAGGGCACCGGGTAGGACATTCTTAGGGCAAGTATTAATTCTTTCTATTTGTGGGGAAGCTGTAAAGTTTTTAGGCTCACAAAAAATCTACGTCTAAGATGCGTACAATCACATGCTGAACTTCAAGAGATTGAATAGTTTACATGGTGGATTGCTAATATTGGTGATGGGGTAATTGTTAATTCAACTAACGGTGAAGATGATATTAGTATTCTGGATCACTTATTATTGCAGTCTACTAATGATCCTACTGCTACAATTGTTGATAGCACATTCCCTATGTTTCGTAGTGGTGACACTCATCTTGACTATCTTCAGAACCGTACTATAAAAGTTGGGTCACCTGTCATGCTATGGAGAAATATTGATCACTCATTAGGACTATGTAATGGTACAAGGCTAATTGTTACAAGGTTGACTGACCATGTTTTGGAAGCTCAAATTATGCGTGGAACGAATGCAGGAACAAATGTTTAAATTCCTCGAATGTCGTTAACATCTTCTGATTCAAGATTGCTTTTCAAGTTCCAAAGAAAGCAATTTCCTTTGATACTATCATATGTCATGACAATAAATAAAAGTCAAGGGCAAACACTATCACACATGGGTTTGTTTTTTAGAAGGTCAGTCTTTAATCATTGTTAAATCTATGTAGCAGCCTCAAGAGTAAGTAATCCTAAGGGATTAAAAATTTTAATGTGTGGATTATGTACCATCTGTAAGTACAACTAAAAATGTAAGTTTTCAATAATGTGTAATACAATTGCAATGTTAATCGCTTTCACTATCATTGCACAATACTTATTTTTTAAATCTACATTGACAAAATTTGTCATCAAATATTAACAATGTGTGTTACTATTAATCAATTCACACTTAATTCTTGAATCAAGTAATGACATCAAACGGAATAATCCCAAAGAGTCCCACATCTATAAAATAAAAGAGAACATATGGGTTTATAAGGTCATGGGTTAGACTAGCTAATTGATTGAATTCAATCTTTTAGTGTGGTTTGGCCATGTGCATTATAGCTCAATTAAGTGATCTTAGCCCAATTTTTGTTTAAGTCACGAGTCTGAATCCCAACTCTCTTGATTTGAGTCGATCAGCTATCCTAAACTAGTTTACTTCCTCGTATTCTTTTGCGAATTAAGGTTACAAACTACATTACATGTGTCTACTTTTTTGTTGCTTTCCCTTTTTATCCCAAAAATAAAAATAATTATTTTTTTAAAACAATCTCATATGAAATAATAAACTCAGTTTGAGACTCTCCCATCACTATCAATATTACATAGGGAGTATTTTGTAAACAATTGAAACAATTAAATTTTGGATTCTTAAGCCTCCTTTTATAGGAGCTTCAAGGCTCCCCTGCCACTTCTCCCATGTGGAAGAAGTGATATAATTAAAGGGAGCCAACGCAGCTCCACTGATACAATTATATGGTTAAACCTGCTAACACAATATGCTTATCTGCTAACTACTAATATAATCTGTTAATTGCTAACCGCTGATTGCCAAACGAAACCATAAACTACTTTGCATAATCTAATCTCTAAACATGAATTGCCATACCAAGATTTTCCTTTGAGCTGAGAGAGCAAATGGGTAAAGATTGACAGAAAAGTGAGCTGATAATTGTATGGAAATCCTACTCCAGTTGATCAGACTTACAACTAACACTTCTAAAATAAGAAGGGTCTCTCACAATCATCATTATAAATACTCATGTATATATATATTATACGAATAAACTAAGAACAAAGATTCCGAAGTTGCAAAGACACCATTTCCTGTGAGAGCCATATTTGTTAACCAGCCAAGACCCCGAGCATGCACTGAATAAAAATATAGAGGTGACTTCTTCGTCTAGAAGTAGAAAGAGCGGCCGCTACTTCCTGTTAGCCTTTGCGGTAACTCTCTTGAAGGTAGTCAACAAGTCAAATGTCCAAAGATGCGTTTCATGTCAATTAAGCAACGGTCGTTGTCTAGACAGTAGAGTTAGGCCAGCCCATGTTTCCGTACATTGGCATAGTTTGGATTGGTTGGCCGGCATTACCATATGGCGGTGGTCCATGATTGAGTGGACTGCCACCGTTTTCATCAGAAGACTCGCTCGAGCCATCCTCAGAAGGGGGACTAGCCCCCGTGATTGGGGCACCAAAATTCAACATATTTGACGACGGGGTTGAAGAAGATGGCTTATACTTTGGCTTTTTAGCATCCGCAATGAAGCTACCTACAATTACCTAAAACGGAATAACATTCTTAACCCATCAGACCAAAAATACTTTATGTACGGGGTAACCCCAGCCAAGACGGCTAAAGATACAAACTTGTAACCACAAGGTCACCAGTTCGAACCTCAGCCTTCTAGGTTTGAGCCAGTCAGCTATGGGCAACCTAGGCTGGTTTACCTCCTTGTGGTCCTTTGCTGGCTAGGGTCACAAGGCAGGGTTTACTCTCGGCACCCCAAAAAGATATACTTAAAGATATACTTTATATACAGACAAAACAATCATTACCTGCACTGGTCCAGCTGCTTTAAGCATTCCCGCAACTCCACCACCCACAACTTTACCATCTGCCCCAGCCAGCGAAACACTCAAGCTACATGTTCTGCTGCCGTTGCCATTACTTTCTGATGGTGAGAACGAACCTGATAAAGAGACTATTTCAAATCGTCCCTGCATTTAAGGAATGACCACAATTTTCAGATCAAACAGAACAACTATAAGCTAAGAGGCAGAAACCAGGGTAACACTTTTCTTTGGGTACTTTAATAAGGTTCTATTCATGGCAAACAGCCAAACAGAATGCTTCATCGAACGCAATCTATTCCCTAAACAGTGCAGTGAGATATTCTGACAGTTATTTTGGAAAATTATAACTGGATTAAATCAATAGTTACATGGAACCCCTTTCTTAACCTTCTTGAAAAATCATTGAAGTAAAAGATGAACCCTAACCTCATAAATAAGGGAGAAAAATTCATATGCCCATCGCTATCAAACAATAACAACTACCACCAAAATGAATTAATAATCATTATGTTTTGTGACCAAAATTATACAAGTAAATTCACAGCACTCTTTATAGAAGCAAATTCACAGCATTCTTTATAGAAGCATCAAGAATAGCAAATTGTTCCAGCATTCTTTAGCACAGAGGCAATAACAGGTCTATATAAATTAAGCATGGCCAAGAAATCACAATGTGTGAGATATAACACAAAATGTCAGCAGCAAGGTTGCAAAAATCGCTAGGCGTTCCTCAGGCGCCTGGGGGGCGCCCGTTTTCTTTTTTAGTTAGTACTAAAATATTAAAAACGGGTTTGAGCGAAATAACCTATTTAAAAAAACACTAAAAATAGCTAACCGGTAGCCTAAACGCCCGCATAGACGACCGCCTAGGCCGCATAGTCTGCCGCGACCTAGTCGGCGCCTAGGCAGCCTAAGTCACCTAGAACAGCGATTCCGCCGAAATTCTAGGCGGCCGGCCACTGCCTAGCGCCTAGGCGCCGATTTCGATTAATCGGCGCCTAAATCTTTGCAACATTGGTCAGCAGATGGAAAAGAAAACAGACCTCTAAGGTCACAGTGCCTCCAAGAGATGATGATGGTTGGCGAAGGGTAGCATTGCATATAGCACCACTCGCAGAGAGAATGCAAACTGTTCTTGGTCCTTGCTGCGAGAAAGTCATTATCTTTTTAGCTATATCCTGCAATAGAGAAATAATTAGTGTCTAACCATTAACGGAAAAACTCAAAACTAGGAGATAGTTATTCTAACGCTTTATGATTTTGGAACAAAAAGGGTCCCACTAAATCTGGTATTCTGATAGCAAGAGAAAAGTGATTCAATAATAAGAAAATGAGAACTTTTGTCATGCAAGATACACTTCTTAGCAGGTGGATGCACTAACATGAACCAAGAAACTAAAGGAATCACATAAAATGTGACAATTTACCATTAAAGAAATTAGCACAGACAGCCACTACCACTGTATAGACTCTGGAAATAACATAATTGCTAATTGGTTGTTGACCCACAACGTCCAACCCACACCAAGAAATTAGACAAGTGATGAAATTGATCAAAATGAGAAAAAAATGAACAAGATAATATATACCGTTCAACTTTCCCTCTATGGCCAAAAGAGCAATTCTACTACCACAATATTGACTCACCTTTCTACGACTCAAAACCTCTCTATTTTACCACTTACAATGTTTAACATTCCCCAAACAACACGTAAATACAACAGAGAGCACCTTTGTAGAAGATACCCCTTAGAAATACACTACCTCTCTTTAGTTTACTCTAATCTTACACAATTTGGAAACATTCTTGTCCCTTTTGCTGCTATTGTGCCATCACAGCAATTGTGAAACTATACAATTAATGTAAACTAAAACAAAATTATTTAAAAATGCAAAGTACCAATAAATGGCACCAAATCTATACCTATTAAGTTCATTCATCTTCTACCTCTCCATCTTCGCTACCCAAAATTGTATTAAGTGAAATGACACTCCAATTAATTTGACTCTAAAATAAATACAAATATTTTTTATAAAAATATAAATACAAATAAGAAAATAAATTATAACCTAGTTCTTAAATATAACTACTCTGTATAATTCAACTAACCTTATATATGGTGGGTCATATAATGTTTTGTTAGAGTCTTACTTTCAGAATGTTACAACCATAGTGTTGTTAAAATTATTATTATTATTATTATTATTATTATTATTATTATTATTATTATTATTATAGTGGGATAGCCACTTTTCTTAGGTAGTTACAGGCACTTAGGTAGTGGGTAGTTTAATATAAATACATACCTATGTAATTGAAGAAGGACATCTTGGAAATTGATAAATTTGGCTTTTTATTAAATGGAAGTTTGGGGAGAGGAAGCACACTAGAAAAGCTTCATTTTTATTCTTAAGTTCCTAAGCCTGTGACGCGATCCTAGCTATCCCGGTCCATAACACAGAACCTACCTCCAGCCCACCCAATCAAAAAAAGAAAAAAGAAAAAAGTTGACCCATGTGTATCACATGATAGTGGGCATCATGGATTGGGTGATAATATTCTATTCCATCAGTGGATGGGCACATACCGCTTAGGCGGCGCCTAGGTTCCTTATAAAAAAAATTCATTGTATTTGATAAAACAATAAAGCATTAAAGCCTAACCCTAGCCCAAAACTTAAAAGTCAAACCCAAAGCTTAAAAATTTAGCCCTAGCCCAAGCCCAAACTCTCTAAAGACAAAATCTAACCCTAATTTCAAATTGCAAAATTTCATATTTCCACCGATGAAGCACTGCCAGCTCTCTTCAACTTCAGCAATGGCAATGGGTAGATGACTACCAAGAGGTGATGGCGAGCTGCGAAGATGGGCTTTGGCACGCAAAGGAAATCCAAGCGTCCGACAAGGCGAGGGGCTCTGCAAAGGTGATGGGTGAGGTGGCAAGCTACAACTATGATGGGCGACTGCAAGGGTGGTGGAACTTGGAAGGGCAAGGCTAGGTCAACTGCGACGGCGATTCGGGGGTGAAAAAGTGAGGCGCAACAGCGACTCGACAATGGATCTTGGAAGTCGAAGGCGAAGGAGTAAAATGTGTTTGGCAAGACTGTGGCCTGGGAGGGTTCTCTTTTAATCGCAACTTTTTTTAAAACCCGGGTGAACCCAAGTTTTAGTCCGGGTTAGGCATCCAAGACATTGCCCGAACACCTAGGTGAAGCCCGAGCTTGCCTCACCCATTTCAGGCGAGGCGAGCTTGTTAGGCGTCCAGTTTGCCTAGGCAACAGCCTTGACAACTATGATCAGGTAAAAAATAAAAATAATTACAAAGCCCAACTCCTAAATATAACTACTACATATAATTAAACTACCCTTATACAATGTTGTAAAACTCAGCCTAGGCGGCCACTTAGGCTAAGGCAAAACAAGCTCTAGGCACCATTTTAATTGATAGGCCAACTAGTTAGCCGATTTGCCTACTCAGCCATGTTCTTTTTAGGTTTGTTTCATTCAAAACAACGTGGTTTTGAGCGAAACAAACGTAAAATTGGTTGGGTAAACATCACACAACAGCAAATCAAAAATTAATCTCACAAAATCGCCATGGAGAAACCTAAAACCTCAAACCTAAGAGTCACTAAGTCAAAGACATCATCGCCCAATCATCACCCATCGCTTTTCGCCACTTTTGCTAGCTATCCTTTGTAGCTGATCAACGGATCAAGTCAGACAAGTGACGACGCCCATCGCCTACTGCCTAGTCGCTACTTGCCATTGTTGCTGGGGAAGTCACCGCTCACCATTGCTGCTAGGGAAGCCACCTCCACTCGCCATCACTTCGAGGAAGTCGGTGCTTGAAAGGAGGGAAGTCACCACATCTGGCTTTTGGTCTTTCACTTTTCAGTTTGCTCTTTTGAGGAAAGACTAGGGCTAGGAAATTTATTTAATGTTTTAAGTTTTTAAATATTTATTAGTTAACTTTCCAACCAATAAATTAGACAAAAAAGCAATGTCTTTTTTTTACTTAAGAAACTAGGCACCCATCCACCGCCCGATGGGTACCTAGCGAACTGACATAATATATGGTGGTCAAGCCAAGTATTGTGAGGGTGTTACTTTGAGAACCAACCTCAAGCCCACCCAAACAAAGGTGACCCATGTGAGTCACGCACGTATTAATGGGTACTCATGGATTGGATGATAATATTCCATTCTAAGCTTGAATACAATGCTATAGAGTATAATGAGAGATGTAGCATAAAGGAACTAGAAGTGAAAAGGCATTATGTATTCTACTTGTTTCTAGGACGCCCGATAGACACAAAAATAATCTATTAGAGAACTATATCAAGCTGGAGTGGGAACACTTCACAGTTCACAAATGCATCTTCTTCCTCAAAATTTTGGCAATAGATTATGTAACAGCAACCCATTGAAGAACTAGAACAAATATTAAGTTCTGGTTGTGCGAGAACAATTCAAAACAGCTTTTCAAGGTCAAGGAAACCAAAACAGAGCCTAGTTGGAAATCAACAAAAAGTTTTAGCACTAAAATATTCAAATCCAACTTTATAACAAAGAGACGCCTCAATTCTTTCAAGAAAATCATGCTGAAAAATAGCTTTCTTGGAGGATGAATATAAAATTAATTAAAGTTTCTGAGAATTCCAGACAAAAACATGATCCCAAAAGTTGTAGAAAGAACCCACCCAGATCTTAACATTGTGAGCCAAATTCCCCTTCTGGAACCTTTTGTTCCAAGCATTTAAGGAGGAAAAAATTAATTACTTCAAATGTAGCTTTGAGCATAATTGCATTATTTATTTTTATCCCATGTAAATCACATAATACTGACACTTTTGCTTAACCATGTCAATATCTTAATAACTCTAGGTAATGAATTTTCCAGCTAATGTGCTTGCTTTCCCAATAAAAACTTGATCTATTTCTTCTTTCCTCATACAGGGTAATAAATAAAAGGCCTTCACTGATCAAATTGGATAACAAGAAAGCAATTAGGGTGGATTTTTCTTCCTCCTAAAGAAGAAATTATTAACAAATCTGGAAACTTACAATTGCTGAAAACAAACTAATTTAGCAGAGATAAAACTATAGACGATTTATGCAAATTTAGCAATCACAATAAGAATATAAATGTCACCTCTCCAGCTTGCACGGTGATTATATGGGGTGTGAAACCAATTCCAGTCGACCCTATGAACCAAAACTCTGAAAAAATTAGTAAAGAAGATGGATTTCCAGCAGAAGAATAAGAAGATTAATGAGAAGAGATATACCCAGAGCATCCAATTGTCTCTTTCCAGAGCCGGGAGGCCTCCCTCGGGCCTTCTTGGGTTGATTCTCGGAGGAGGAGTGAGTCATGGCAGCGTTGCTGGTCCCGGTCCCACCAGCGGAGTCGGCGTGGGCGGCCACCATTGAGGAAATCGGAGAGACGGGCGTAGGAGAGAGGCCAAGAGCAATGCCACCGTCGGGAGAGTACTTTCTGGGGCGGCCTCTCTTCTTCTTGGCGGGGGGCTCAATGCCCCCGAACCCAGAAGCTGCCGCCCTGGGGGACGATCCGTCGGAGTAATCCACGGCGGTGGGCGGCGGCGGCGGCTGACCCGAACCCGTACCCACCATGGGATTGAAAGGGAAACGAGGGTTTTGTTGCTGCTGTTGCATCATGGCACTGTAAGAGTTGGCCTGCTGAGGCGGCGCCACCATCATGGTGGGCCCGGGTTGCGGTTGTTGCGGGTGGTGGAATTGAGCCTGAGGGTGGTGGGAATCTTGAGAATCCATTATAAAAAAATTACTGGCACCAGTTTAAAACCAACAAAGATTGTTTCTTTCTTTCCTAATAAAAAATGAAAAACAAAAAAAAAAAAATGGGTTTTGGGAAATTGCAATGCGGGTGGGTGGGTGGTGGGTTTAGATTTTTTTCTTTTTTCTTTTGCTTTTGGTTTGGATACTGAAAACCTACTCTTACTGCAAGAGTTGCAGAGGGGAGATGGGAAAAGTCGAAAAGTGATGCCGAAAGATGACGGAAGAAAGAGAAGACCGACTAGTGTTGTATTTTGGATTGTAGAGTATACTAGTATAGTTCTAGGGTTTTAAAAAAATTTCTTTTATTCAGATTTGGAGGGTTTTGATTTGGTATAGGTAGATGCAACTTATGGCTTCCTACCAACCAATTAGATTGCACCACACGCAACCTTCCACTTCCCTAGCTTGGTATTTTAAATTTGGTGAAATTATAATTTTTTTTTTTTAAAAAAAAAAAATTATTTTATTATTTTATTATTTTTATAAGTGATTAATAGGGAATACACAAGCACAAGTGAATGTATTTGAGCGGAATTCGTCTATATTAGGACTCTATGTATCTGAGTCTATTTAGAACTTCTTATCCTTGTCACACTGTGACTCTCTACTTCTTATCATTATCACACTGTAACTCTCTATTGTATATATTCACATCATCTGATCTCATTGTAATCAAGTTCAGAAAATATAATACAATCAGTTCTCATCTGGTATCAGTTAGCTAGGGTTTTGTGATTCATAAAATCAAGAAGATGCAGCGCTGCGGTGGCAACCTTAATTACCGTGGAAGTCAGCAACGTGGGTTCGATGATCCGTGTCAAATCTGTAAAGGTTTCGGCCACACAGGAGTCAATTGTTTTTGGCGCTATGATGATCCGTGTCAAATTTGTAAACGTTTTGGTCACACGGGAGTCAATTGTTTTTGGCACTATGATGATCCATGTCAAATTTGTAAACGTTTTGGTCACACGAGAGCCAATTGTTTTTGGCACTATAATGATCCGTGTCAAATTTGTAAAAGTTTCGGTCACACGGGAGTCAACTGTTTTCGGCGATATTCAGGGGCTCCGGGTTCTCAGGCTAATTTGGTGTTTCAGAATGGTTTAGTTGCTAAAACCTCATCAAATTCTCATACTTGGGTTCCGGACACTGGAGCCACAAATCATGCAACTCCAAACATCGCTGCCCTTTCTACATCGGAGAAGTACACTAGTAATGACACTTTACGTGTCGGTGACGGTATGGGTTTATCTATTAGTCATGTTGGTCATGCCTCTTTTAATACCCCTTCTAGATCATTTACATTGTCTGATATACTTCACGTTCCACATTTGTCTAATTCTTTATTATCTGTTCAGAAGTTTGCATCCGATAATAACGTCTTTTTTGAGTTTCACCCCTCCTTTTTTGTTGTGAAGGATATCAATACCAAGGAAATACTTCTTCGGGGCAATAGTTCGGGGGGACTATACACACTTTCATTATCTAGTTCGTCTCCGTCAGCGTTTCTTTCCGCTCGTGCCTCGGCTTCCACTTGGCACAATCGTCTGGGTCATCCTTATAACTGTGTTCTTAGCCATATACTTCGTTCTTGTTTGGTTAGTGAGTATCGTGATAATATTCGTTGTCATAATTCTTTATGCAATGCGTGTCAATTAGGCAAATCTGCCCGTTTTCCCCTCCCTCGTGTTGCTTCCTCTAGTTCTCAAGTCCTAGATCTTATTTACACAGACATTTGGGGTCCTGCGCCCACTTTATCTACTTCTGGCTTCCGTTATTATGTGATCTTTGTGGATGACTATTCCCGTTATACATGGTTCTTCCCTATGAAATTAAAGTCTGATCTTTATGTCATCTTTGATAAATTTCGTACTCTTGTTGAACGGTCCTTTAATTGCAAAATAAAGGCCATTCAGTCTGATTTAGGTGCTGAGTACAAAAAGTTGCATTCTTCGTTTGTTCAATTAGGAATTCAACATAGACAATCATGTGCCTATACACATGAACAGAATGGTCGTGTTGAACGAAAACATCGTCACATTGTTGAAACTGGTCTGGCTCTTCTAGCTCATGCCTCTGTTCCTTTGAAATTTTGGGATTTTGCCTTTGAGACTGCTGTATATTTAATTAACAGAATGCCATCTTCTGTATTAAATAACTCCAGTCCTCATCTCCTGTTACATAAATCCCCTCCTTCCTATCTTTTTCTTCGTGTCTTTGGGTGTTTATGCTATCCTCATCTTCGACCATATAATCGTCATAAGATGTCATACAAGTTTTCTCCACGTGTCTTCCTAGGTTATCCTGAGTCCTTTAGGGGGTACAAATGCATGGACTTACATACTAATAAGATTTACACATGCAGGCATGTCAGATTTGATGAAGAAGTATTCCGCTTTGTTACTAAAACTTCTTTGCAGGAGTCTACTCCGTTTTCTGGACTTTGGGCGGAATATGTTCTCAGTCATAGCACACCTATTCCTGCCGTGTCCAATGATGAGCCACCAGAACCGCCGCTACTAGCTTCATTCGAACCACCCGTGGATCCCGGACAGGCTGCCTCGTCGGGTGATCCGGTGGAGCCCGTTGCTTGCCAGCGAGGCCGTCCACGTGGGCGGTCCACCAGGCCCAATGTCCGTACTCACTCTATGGCCACTCGTAGCAACGTAGATGCTCCTCTTTTTGCTCTAGCAGCTCAGGTGCATCCCACGGATCCCACATGTCACTCTCAAGCTGTCAAATATCCTGAGTGGCATGAAGCCATGGACCAAGAATTCAATGCTCTCCTGCATAACCACACATGGTCTCTAGTTCCACCCACTGCAGGTATGAATATTATTGGCTGTAAATGGGTGTTTCGTACGAAGAGAAAGGCTGATGGTACTATTGAAAGGCATAAAGCTAGACTGGTTACGAAAGGTTTTAATCATGTTCCAGGCCAGGACTTCTTTGACACATTTAGTCCAGTGGTAAAGCCTACGACTGTAAGACTCCATCTATCTCTAGCTTTATCATCTGGGTGGTCTATCAAACAGCTAGTTGTTCATAATGCTTTTCTGAATGGTAATCTGGCTGAAACAGTTTATATGAAGCAACCCCCTGGTTATATTGATGCTAACTTTCCGAATCATGTTTGTTTGTTAAAAAGATCTCTGTATGGGTTAAAACAAGCTCCCAGAGCCTGGTTTAATCGACTACATACGTTCTTACTATCAGTTGGCTTTCAAGCATCCAAGACAGATGTCTCTCTGTTCTATTACTCTAAAGACTCCGCTTTGGTTTATTTATTGGTGTACGTGGATGACATTCTTGTCATGGGAAGTGATCAGGGTATTATGTCTCAGCTCTTGTCCAAACTGTCTGCTACATTCAAAATCGATCTTGGTGAACCAAATTTCTTTCTGGGTATTTCTATTCCAAAATTATGGTGTGATAATCTAGGAGCTATATATATGAGTGCCAACCCAATCTTTCATGCGCGCACCAAGCATGTGGAGATTGATTATCATTTTGTTCGTGATCGAGTAGTTTTAGGCGATATTCAAGTCAACTTCATCTCCACAAAGGATCAACTTGCTGATATCTTCATCAAAGCTCTGCCTGGACCTAGATTTTCTTCCCTAAGGGACAAGCTACAGGTTACTAGTATACACTGTGCTTGAGGGGGAGTATTAGGACTCTATGTATCTGAGTCTGTTTAGAACTTCTTATCCTTGTCACACTGTAACTCTCTACTTCTTATCATTATCACACTGTGACTCTCTATTGTATATATTCACATCATCTGATCTCATTGTAATCAAGTTCAGAAAATATAATACAATCAGTTCTCATCGTCTAAACCGATCATATGTGACCTATATTGACCTAACCTTCTAACTGTAGTTTTCGATCCAAACGAATGCCCTGTAGATTCTGCTTCAACCCAAGTCTCATTGCTCGTTCCCTATTGTATTTGACTGAAAAGTTCATTAATCTAATTAGTCTCTAAGTTTTTTGTCCCAAGATTACTCAAAACACTCCCACAGGCAAAACGAATAGTCATATCACGTCTCATCACCTTTTTAGTCCTATCTGGACAACTAGTGTGATAATTATGATTGTCAAACATGTGTAGAACATGTCAAAAGTCCAACATGCTCACCTAGACTCGCCTATAAAATATACATTAATTGTTAAAGATGAAACTTTTGACCTTTTTCCTCACATACACGAGTACACGCTTGTGTATACACCTAATTCATTTCCCAACCTTAGAATAAGAAAGAAGAATCCTTTCCCCGACCTCCCGTATAATTTTCTTCATACTTGCTCAAACGCAAGTGACTACGAAACTACCTTCCGACCATAGACCCAGTATTTGTATTATCAGGGTTGTTTAATATAAGAGTCAAATAGATCATTACTTAATATGGAAACGATACTTAAGTCATTGAACTTTAAAACGTTTCAATTTAAAATTCAATCTTGTCTTGTTAAAAAAAATAATCACATCTTTTTAGCATGTCATCATCATGTAATTAGAGAAAAAATATTGACATGTCATTTAAGTATAATGCTAGGAACATTTGTATTAGATTTTGATGATACCAAACGATAGGAACTTTAGACTCCTAATTATTTTATTTCTAGACTTAGGACATTTATACTCAAACATTTGAATATAACAGAATGGTACCTCGAATAGTAACATATGTACACATCCGAATGGAGACTCGAGAGGACAGTCGTAACAACGATTCGTAGAGTAACCCGAGTGGTTAACTCTCGACTGGGAAAAAGATAACGAGTTGAAGATCAACTCGAATGGTTATCTTTCGAATAACTCGAGAAGAAGAGTAACCCAAGTGGTTATATCTAGTCTGAGACTAAAGACCGAAGACTGAAGATTCGAAGAGTAGAAGATATCAAGACCGAAAGGTTGCAAAAGACCGAGAGTTGGAAGGGTCTACCTTTCGAAGTGTTGCAATACCAAATGGTAAAGTCAATCATTCGTAACCGAAAGTAGGAAAGACCTACCTTTCGAGGAGTTAAGGGACGAATGGTAAAGTCAATCACTTGTATCCGATAAGACCTAAGGCTCGAGGCGTTAACTTAATTAACCACTCGATATGACTGCTCGAGACATTCTCTGAGTTGTATCATCTGAAACCTTAAAAGATGAGCGAATATGTCAAAAGCAAATGCTGGACACAACTCATGTTTCTGAAAAATATTATGCACAATCATTTGTCCATCAACACCTAATATGAATGCTTTAATATCCCTTTTGAAGTTTTAAAGTCAACA